CCAAAAAATTGAGAGAACTTGGTTGGGAAGTGTTAGTGATCACCATATAGTCCTGACCTTGCACCCTCAGATTTTCACCTGTTTCGGTCTCTTCAGAATTATTTGGATAGTGTTAGATTAACATCAAGAGGAGACTGTACAACCTACTTGTCGCATTGTATTGATCAAAAATTACCAAGATTTCTACAGCAACGGGATTATGTCACTACCTACAAGACGGCAACAAGTTATCGAACAAATTGGCACATACATTTAAATGTAATTAAACTTTAAAATATTTTGTATTTAGTGAGCTAGAAATCGGTGAGTAGATGCAGTTTTGTGTCATTTATTCAGTTTTTATTGTAAATTTACGTGGTAACTTTGGACAATAACCTGAAACAGATTTTTTAATTTTTTTCAGTTTACTTCATTTAATGTATATATACTAATATTACTATGCCTCGAAAAAGGAATGGAAGAAGCATTTATTAAAATAAGATCGCGTGCATTAAGCTAAAGAAAAGCTTGCAAACTTTGTAAGATAATGTTCTTTTAACTATGTCACCGTTATCTTTTTTACACTCTCTATTCCCACTCTCTCTAAGTACGATGGGACGGTAATCCAACACGAATGGAAAGAGATCAGGCATAGAAACAACGGCTTTACGTGCTTGCCGAGGCACGGGGTTGAAAATTGACAATTTCTTGGCTCCAGGCTGCTACTGAAAATTTCTTGACAGCAAAACCTAATAACTGAGTTTGGCCTTACCCAGAATCTCATGATTAGCAGATGTACTTACAACTTTTTCAGACACAATAATAGGCCTAATCAACAAATCAGTGAATCCCCTTTCATGTTTACTGTTTTATCTTAATAACACCTTGGGTCACCACCGGCGAATTCAGTTCTTGCTTAAAACAACATAATTGTATGGCCTACAAATAATCATTCTGGTTCATTTGGGTCACAAACAATCATTTGGTTTGTTCATGTGTAATACGTCTCGGGATGTAAACACCAGCGCTCTAAAAAAGAAGTATAATTCCGCCTCTAAGTCCTTCAAAAGAGTCATTGCCAAAGCAAAGTAAAAAGCAAGAGTGCAAGAGCACAAAGGCAGAATTGGCGAGAAACTAGTTCGCCTTCCTTCTGGAACCCGTGCATTTTGGTCTCGCCAAGGCTGTCCAGGGGAATTTCTGTCAGCCATCTCTTCCATCTCTGCACAGGGAGGACGACGCACTGGCCCATACCGCAAAGGAGAAAGCCGATCTGCTAGGCTCTTTCTTTGCGTCCAACTCGACTCTCGATGACGGGGGGAGTACGCCGACGACCATCCCGCGGTGTGAGTGCTCCATGCTGGCAGTTCACACAGCGCTCTGTTCACAAAGCACTCCTCTCCCTGGACATCCACAAATCAAGTGGGCCTGACGGAATCCCTCCAATTGTGCTGAGGACGTGTGCTCCAGAGTTGGCACCGGTTTTAACGCGTCTTTTCCGGTACTCCTACTTCCTAGGCGTAGTCCCGAAATCACGGAAGACGGCTTTTGTCCACCCGATCCCTAAAAAAGGCGACCGCTCAGACCCGTCCAACCACCAGCTTATCGCCATCACCTCCTTGTTCTCCAAAACAATGGAGTCTATTGTTAACTGCCAGCTCATGAGGTACCTTGAGGATCACCAGCTGATTAGCGATCGCCAATATGGTTTTCGCCGTGGTCGGTCAGTTGGTGATCTTCTGGTCTACCTAACTCACAGGTGGGCGGAGGCAGTAGTCCAAGGGGAGGCATTGGCCGTTAGTTTGGACATTGGGAAGGCCTTCGATCGGGTTTCCTTCTCTAGCTTCTAAGCTCCCTTCCTATGGGCTTCCCGAGAAATTGTGCGATTGGATCACCAGCTTTCTTGCAGATCGGAGCATCAAGGTCGTTGCAGACGGTGCAAGCTCCGATTGAAAGCCTATTAATGCTGGTGTTGCACAAGGCTGCGTGCTATCGCCAAAGCTGTTTCTTCTGCATATCAATGATATGTTGCAAGCCCGTAACATTCATTGCTATGCAGATGACAGCACTGGTGATGCTCTGTCACCGGCCGTGCCAATATTTCTCGGGAAAACGTCTCCGAGTATCGGGACAAACTTGTGTCTGAAGTCGAGTCTCTGCTGAACAGAGTCTTAGATTGGGGGCGACTACATCTAGTCCAGTTTAACCCCCAGCCGACACAAGTTTGCGCGTTAACCGCTAATGTCGCCTCTACACGTTGGCCAACACAGTGGCGAATGGAGTGGCGAATATATTGGCCGAGAGTTGGTGACGGCGTCCACACGTTGGAAGGTCGTTCAGTTTACTTCGGTTCGGGCCAATGTGCGGACGAATTTATAAGCACCGTGGCGCAGTGACTCAGCAATGAGTTGCTGCGCCGGGCGCCGCGGGTTTGATCCCGCACGGAACAAGTATTTGTATGTCCTACAAATAATTGTTTCGGGTCTGGATGTGTGTCCTTGTGCAATTTATGTTTGTAAGCTGCCTGCGCGATACGGGAGAAAATCCTAGTGTGGGGTTAACGTTTTTATAAAAGAATTATAAAATAATAGTGTATATTAATGGGGTTGTCGATATACGATTAGCTTTATTTATTCTTTACATGCATCATAAACTGGAATAAATACCATTAATAAGAACTTAACTTATTTTAAAGTTAAAGGAGTTATAATTGATTAGTCTATGTTTTAAAATTGGGTTTTGATTTTAAAGTTTAGCAAAATATGTACTTGCATTTCTATCAGACATTTGATGTATGTAAAAAACACCTTATAATTTATTTGGTAATTTAATTATTTTTTGAGAAAGACAAAAACAATAGCAATAAATATAATTAACACTGACTTAATAATAGGTACTAATTATAACTTAGAACATAAATGAAAAACTCATGACGAGCAAAGTGGCTCAGGACCATGCTTTGCGGCAGTCTGTGGAGGAGGATGTTCAGTAGTGGACTTGTGAAGAGATGTAATGATGATGATGATTCGAAAACTTGCACGATTAAATTATAAGAAATCGACGCTTTTTTATATAGGATAGGGTGACAAACGAGCACACAGTTCACCTGATGGTAAGTAGTTGCTGTGGCCCACAGACATCTACATCTATCCTCGATTACGAATCAAAATGCAGATACGTTGTCACCCGTGAGGACTAAGATGAAATGCCTCGTTTCCTTTAAAAAGTGTCTCTGGTTCTCTACACTCACTATACGAAACGCAGCATCATTAAGCTACTATTTTACATTGATATTCTGTGAGAGCGTGGTCCTTCCCCGGTCGAACCGACCCATTCGTGCTACAACTATACTTATAATATAACTGCATGGTTCTATCACGTATAAACGACGTGCTTCATTTTTTTCATTTTAAAATTGTTCTCGTAATAATCTGATTGTAAATAAATGTTCATTATTTTTTTTTTATAAATAGCTTATCGATTAAAACAAATGTTTAAAAATAATTAAATCGCGCTAATTAAAGTAGTAGGAATGTTTAAAGTGGAAATTGCACTAAAAGGCTGGTAATTGGGTCATCCACCCTACAAAGCGTGAATATAAAATTTTAATCAGATGCGTGTAATCACTCTGGGAGCTTGTAACAAACTAAACTCGCTCCCAACGTGTGGACGCGGCGACCAAACTCTGCCAACAATCCTTTGATCTTTTGTAAAAAAACCGACACCACACGGTTCTCGCGCCAACTTGCGGGCCATCGTTCCAATACATACCAATGAAGCCCAAACACCCCGTCTACACGTTGGCCAATGCTATTGGCCACTACATTCGCCACTGTGTTGGCCAACGTGTAGAGGCGCCGTAAAAAGAACCCCTTTGTCGTATCTCCTCAGTTTCAAGGCACCCCCCTTGTTGCCTCAGCCAGTATCGGAGTTCTCGGCGTCGACATATCGAGTGACGTGCATTTTCGTGGTCACTTGGAAGAGAAGGCCAAATTGGTCTCTAAAAAGCTTGGCGTGCTCAGCAGAGCGGGACAGTATTTCATGCCGGCACACCGCCTGCAACTTTACAAGGCGCAGGTTCTGCCGCACATGGAATACTGTTCCCATCTCTGGGCTGGGGCTCCCCAGTACCAGCTCCTTCCACTTGACCGCATCCAGCGCAGAGCGGCTCGAATCGTCGACGACCGAGTGCTTTCCGATTGGCTCGATTCACTGGCGCTGCGAAGAGATGTTGCATCTCTTTGCGTATTTTATCGCATCTATCACGGGGGAGTGCTCTGAGGAATTGTTCGGATTAATTCCAGCCGCCAAATTTCGTGAACGCACTACACGGCAAACGTCCCGATACCATCCACACTATCTGGATGCTTGGCGGTCCACCACTGTACGTTTCAAAAGGAGTTTTCTTCCGCGTACAACCTCTCTGTGGAATAATTTACCACCGGTGAATTTTTCCGGACCGATACGACCTGGGGACCTTCAAGAAAAGAGCTTACTCCTTTCTAAAGGGCCGGCAACGCACCTGCAATTCCCCTGGTGTTGCGGTTGATCATGGGCGGCGGTAGTCACTTAACACCAGGTGAGCCACATGCTCGTTTGCCCCCTCTTCTATAAAAAAAAAAAAAAATCCACACCATCTGAATGCTTGGCGGTCCACCACTGTACGTTTCAAAAGGAGTTTTCTTCCGCGTACGATTTCTCTGTGGAATAGTTTACCACCGACGATTTTTCCACACCAATACGACCTGGGGACCTTCAAGAAAAGAGCATACTCCTTTCTAAAGGGCCGGCAACGCACCTGCAATTCCCCTGGTGTTGCGGTTGATCATGGGCGGCGGTAGTCACTTAACATCAGGTGAGCCGCATGCTCGTTTGCCCCCTCTTCTATAAAAAAAAATTAAAAAAATAAAAGAACAGAATTTGTATGTACAGTACATCTCCAACTACATGATGCAAGAGAGATTTCTCATATGGTGATTTTTTTTTAATTTCTTGATACGGTTTTTTAAAATAAATTCCTTTACCGATGTCGAGGTCATCTGTTTTACTCTTTGCACCTAATGAAATCAGTGGCAAGTCGTTCTCTGAATCCTCATGTCGATCTTCAAAAGCATCAATCTCCAAGTCTTCTTGTTTTTCAGCAGTATCTAGAATGAAACAGATTCTGACTCAATAAATAAAATAAAATCTGATATTTTTTCCAAACAACTAGATCATTACAGTCCATCACACAGCTTATGGGTCCGAGCCACCCACTTTCAACCATACTGCATGTTTGATAAGCTAAGTGAAATAACCTGAAGTGGCAATGGGCCAAAGAACTGACAACCGACAAACAGTGACGTAATTATAGCAGCCTCGTGCAGGTAGACAAAGTGTAGAGCGGTCCCCCACTAGATGGAGTGACAACCTGGTAAGACATGCAGGAAGTCGATGGATGCGAGTGGCTCAGGACCGTGCTTTGTGGTGTTCCTTAAGGGGGGCCTGTGTCCAACAGCGGACTGTGAAGGGCTGTAATGATGATGATGATTCATTTACCTCATTTAGTGAGTGTTCTGCTACAACTTGTATTTAGTAGCTGAGCGCTTGCCAGTATAAGCATTCCTTAAGCACCTGTTCTTCATACATTTTTAATACGAAGTGACAAACAAACTAACAGTCCACCTTATGGCATGTAGTCGATCCACCTGATGGTAAGTGGGTACTGCAGTCCACGCACTGCCTGCAGCTGACTTCAAACATAAAAGGTTACAATGTGCTGTCACCTCTGACGACTAAGATGCAATGCCCCACAGCCTGTGATTATACTGACTCTATACTCTTCAGACCGGCACACAGCACACTGCTATTTGACGACAGAAATAGGTAACAGGAAGATGGAGGAGTTCATGTGGGTTAAGAAATTGGCAAAGATAGGTGGAAAGTATATCATTAATTCCTATGAAGTTAATTCTCAGCACCATTTAACAGGGTCAAAGCATTTATAAATATATTTATACATAAGTAAAAGAAAATGTCTAACAATGCTCATTACGATGTCCATGTATGGTTATCTTTTAAGTAATTATTTAATTTGTTATTTTCTTTCTCCGTGAGTGCTTTTTACTTGCACTTTGAATTTAAGCAAAGGCAAATCAGTACATTGCACATGAAGTCCTCTTTATTTTGTGTCCATGGGCTACAATAACCACTTGCCATTATTTAAATTGTACCTTAATTTTATAATATCACAAAATGTGTATATCTTACCTATTTCATGACTCCAGTTTACTTCAAATTTGTAATTCTCGTTTTCGACTTTCTCTTCCTCAACTTTAACAGATTCGAGGCTAAAAATGTCGTCCTTACAATCATTTTCTATATCACACTCTACTGGCCAAATATCTATATGATTAATTGTTGTGAATTGAATCTCATCTCTAGCCTCATGTGGTTTTGGTATTAACTGAAACCAAACTCTTTTTTAAATAAGAGACTTTGGCAAAATTGCTGCTATGAAGCAACCTCTGACACTTTTATAGGTATTAATGGATGGAATAGATAATACCATGGACCCTCCTGCAAGCAACTGCTCCAGAACTGCACTTGACTCAATAGCCTGTTGTTGCAATCTCTTGCAACGAATGAGTCTTGCATGACAGATGAAACAGACAATTATAGGCTCCTCATCCTCATCCATCTGAAAATTCATCATGAATATAGGAAACTACTTAAATGTACAATTTTGTAATAAAATATATTTGCCACCACAACTCTCTTCTTCAACATCATTTTGATATAACATTAAAGTCATTGAGTTATATAACACTAGAGGAGAAACCACATTACCGCGCGTCGAAAAATGTGTAACCACTATCCAAACACGATGACGTAGCTTTGAAACTAATAACAATTTTAAGTAAACATATATCTATCTCACTTACACAAGTTGCGAAAACAATATAGTCGTCGTAAGATTGGATAAAGATAGACACACAAACATGCAATGGCGGGTTGGTGTGGCTTACTATATGAAATTTTACCTAAAATACGCAATAAAAATGAGTTTTTTTTAAGCTGCAGTTAATTGTTTTTATATTAAAAAGTATATTTTATTTTAAAATCTTTATTACGTCCCCTTAGAAAAAAAGGGATACAAAGCTTAACAGATGAATAGAAGTAAACATAATGATGAAATAAAACGTATTTTTATGGTTCTAATAAATCAAACAATATAAAATATAATTTTATTAGATACCTATCATCTGAACTGGTTGAACATGACTCGTAGACAGGCTGGTAAATATCTGACGAGCCACTACTAAACGGTTCAGTGGCACTCATTTTAATACACACTTAACGTATCAAACTTAAAACAATTATTTAAAAGAATAAATACGCATGTCCTTTCGTGCCGAGCACAAAACATGCACTGACTTGTTTACAAATGATGTAATAATTTCATTTGTTGCAAGAAGAAGGCAGGTCCGGACCTGCTCCCTTCTTGCACCAAACAGAATAAGGTAGCAGATCCAAATTTTGTTACAGCACGCTTGTTTGTCGTCGGATTTGCCTCCTAAATGCACCAAACCATAGCTAATTTTTTTGTTTAAAATGTAGGTGAAAAAAAAAATGTAACGGTTAAAATTTGGATCTGCCCCTCTTTTGCTGCAAGGTCCTCAATTATGGGTATGTTCCGAAATACAACGCAGTGTACTGTCCAATGCAAATGACTTATCATTTGACACTTTATTGTTCTAGCGTGCCACCGCCATATTGTGTCGGATATCCGGCCATAATAAAACAATTTTTAATTGTGTGTTTGCCGAATGAAGCATGCCAGAATTTGTTTCTATTTATTAAAATACAAAAAATTATAGAATAATTGATCATATATCCATTAGGAGGATATAATGATTTTTGGAGCACAAAATGACAAAATAATCGCCAACACTTTTCCAAATAGCGCAAAAGTATGACGTCATATACTGTCCAATGGCTTGGAACGAATCACCAGTATAGCGTCGATTCATGACGTCATTTGCATTGGACAGTACACTGCGTTGTATTTCGGAACATACCCTATATATAAATGAGGTCCAAGCTGGAGACTTTTCTAATTTTCCAACTGTTGCAGCTGTGCAATTATAGGTGTCTATTTCAGATAGTATTTATCAAGATATGGTTTCCTACTTCTCAGAATTCAAAAAAGATTCAATGATGTGAGAAATATTGAGAACTATATTATTCTTGTAGAAAACCATTTGTGTGATTTACTAATATTTGTTTTGTGTGATCTTTTTGTCTGTTCATTGTATGCTAGTTAGTTCTTTGAGTTGGCAAATAAAGACTTCACATTTATCAGATTTGCCAGAAAAATCTGGGGAGCATACGGGTTGACAGCTCACAATAAAATATGTCAATTGATTGGTGGTGTCAACTTAACAATCCAAGAATGTGCGGCCCGCTGTGACACCTCACATTGTATTGTGTGGCCCTTGACCAAATAGGTGTGACGACCACTGGTTTAACCCTTCAATGATAGTACTGATATTACAGTGACCCAGAATTACAGGCTAATTGTTGTTTTTCAGGTTCGGGTTGTATTTTATCACTTTATTTAAGGTTGTGCTTTAGCCTAGGGCGGATCTATCGAATTTTATATCAGGCAAGTTATAATGTCTTTCTCCACCGGTAACAAGAAATAACAGCAACTTCAATTTTCAAAATTAAGAAATATTAACAACTTACAAAACAGTTCGTCAACATTTTGTACAAATTCTGGAGGCCAGTCTTTTTTTAGTATACACATGCGTACATTAACACTTAAACAAATTCTACAAATTTTACTAAAAGCCATTCCTGTTTCCTATTGCTTTAATATAAATTATAAATCAATTCTGTTTTTCTGAACTTAGTTCACTTATAAAGTTCCAAACCGAAGTTTGCAATTTTCTTAATTTCATAAAATTTAAACAATGTACTCTGTTTACAGTGGTTTACAACAAAGCATAGAACCATAATACCGTCAATAAATATGTACAAGCTACACAGAACACTAATACCACAGAAACTAATACCCTTAGGCGGGCAGCAAAGAGCAAAGAGTATAATAAGTATATATAGGAAGTTTACAGTTTTTTTCAATACTATTATTGTTTTATTTAACTGGCTTTGCGGCTCTGGGTTCTAGCTCTTCTAAACCTATCATTTCTTACGGGATCTTCATTTTTATAGATGTTTTTCTTCACAATATGCTGATACGCAACACAGTGAAGTTTTAAGGGATTTTGATGACAGCTCTACCCAGCGGATAATCGATAGCGATAGCCACTCAAGTTCCTAAAGCGCCTAAGCGATCAATATAACTCAACATCGAAGCATTCGTTTTACTCGCGCAAACAATTAAATCACAAAATAGCTTTCCTTTTACGAATCAAAATCCACTTCAAACAACTATTTAAGCGATAAAATAGGAGCAACAATCTGTCGACAGCAAAGTTCACGCCGAAAATCCGCAATAATATTAAATTGCAGTAGAACCATAGATAAATAAATATGTAATTTCAAAAACGATCAGTATGATATGCCTAAAGTAAATTGTAAACTTCCAGGGTTTTTCAAAGACGAAATGGGTGGTGATATAATTACTGAATTTGTTGGATTAAGAGAAAGATACATCCAATAAGACTAATAAACTATGTGGAGCGGAAAAATATGTAAATGCTCCTAATTTTAAAAATTTGTCAATAATTTCCGATTCCTTAGTAGCAATCCTGTTAGAACAGAGTTCCCCAAACTTTTTTGTGTCGTAGACCCCTGCCATGTTTTTCCGTGTTGGGTAGACCCCCTACTTACCTAATATTGATTTCCTGTGAATTTCCAACCGTAGTGAAGTTTAGTGTTAAAAACTTAAAGTAAAAACACATTTAATTTATACATTTATTAATTGAATTTAAATTAAAACTACTCAAAATAAAATTTTGCATCTGTTATGTCAAATATACGTAACATTAATTAAACTATAAATAAAATAACATAAGCAATAAGTCAATATTTTTAGTGAGAAGGATGAACCTGATGCTTTAATAATAAATTATCAACATTTGGCGTCAATTTTGTAAGGGTTAATCTTAAATCTCCTCGGCTAATGACGCCCAGTCTGTTTCTTTTTTTCGTTAGGAGATTGGTAACAGCGCTGAACCCCCCTTTCCACTAGGTATGACGATGTAAAGGAAATTAAAAATTTCCTCGCTATATTCCATAATACGGGATAAGTAACGGGTATGTTGTTTTGCAGCCAGAATTGCTGATATCCGTTTTTAAACTGAACCTTAAGTTCTTCGTTTGTACTTAGTTCAGTCAGTTCCTCTTGTATTATGACATTCGTTTCTTCTATGTCACCATATGGATTAATTATCCACGGTGGTATTACCATAGTCAAAATATCCTCAAACCTACATTCAAAATCTGAATAGAGGCCATTTAAATGTTGAACGTAAGTTGAAACGTCGTCTTCCTGGCAGCTTGTCTGTGACAAATCGGGGAACTGAGAAAATTCGCCCCGTCCAATATTTTTCTTCATTAGTTTAACTCTGGCAAGAAACGCTGATAAGATGAACTTTGTTTTAATCAAATTTAAACTGTCGCCTTGTAATTGCAAATTAACCATATTAAATTTTGTAAACAAATCTGTTAAATAGGCGATGTCTGTTTTCCTCTTCATTAAATTTTCTTTTAAAATTTTATCTTTAGTATCCAGAAATTCTAAAATAGTCTCAAAAAGTGCAAAAAATCTTGTCAAACATAAGCCTTTCGACAGCCAGCGTACTTCAGTGTGAAGGAGTAATTGATGAAAGTGTTCGTCATTTTCTTCACACAACTGCGCAAATAACCGCGTATTCAACGCGTTGCTTCGGATTAGGTTTACTGCATCAATGACTAAATGAAGTGATTCATGCAATCTAACACTCAAATTTTTAGCAATTAAATGTTGTCGATGGATGACGCAATGTATTGCTAACACCCCTGATACATTTTGTTTTAAATAGCTTATAAATCCACGATAACGTCCAACCATGGCAGGTGCTCCATCTGTAGCTTCTGATATTATATTTGATAAAGGAATTGCTTTTTCAAGAAGTAACCCTTAAAAACATGAAATAACACCTTTAGTGTCGGTTATCAAAGTTCTTGCGAAGAGCAGTTCTTCGTAGATTTCTTGATTCATAGTAAAACGAACATATGTCAATAATAATGCTGGATTATCAGGTAAAGTTGATTCGTCCAGTTGTATAGAGAAATGGGTCCTTTGCAAATAATTACATAAGAAGCTTTCAATATCAGAACTCATTTCATCAATACGTATTTCAACAGTATTGTTGCTTAAGGGAATTCTTTTAATGATATCAGATGCAGGTTTGTGTAAAACAGTTTTTAAAACCTCTTCAACGGCTGGCAAAATTAACTTTTCTCCGATAGTATGCGGTTTTCCGGATTTTGCTATAAGTAACGAGATATTGTAAGACGCCCGCAAACCATCATCATTTCTTTGTGACGTCGAAGCGAACATTCTGTCCAGTGTAGGTCTCTTCTGTAGTTTATCTTTGAGTGTTTGAAAGTATTTCAAATCTTTCTCTGTTTTATCAGGGTGGCATCTTCTCAGATGATCGTGCAGTTTAGATGGTTTCATAGCGTCATTGCTCAAAACTTTGTTGCACAAAAGGCACATAGGCGATTGTTTGACCAGCAATGATGGAATGAAGCCAAATTTAAAATAATCAACACTGTACTGTCGACATTTCTTTTTAGATTCGGACATGGTGTTCGCGTCACTTTGCACTATCGCTTAACGCTTATAAGGGATTCGTTAATTATTATCCAATAAGATGCAAAGCTGCAAAGCCCATTTCCGGTTTCCTATCTACCGCCTTTTATGCCCAGCATGTGCATTCGTGTTAACGGGCTCACACAAGTTGAGAAGACACGCAACCAACCGTTCCCGCCCTTGTGTAATTTGGATATTGAATTATACAAGCATATAGTAAAAAGTATAGAATTTGCAATAAGGCTATATTTCGTGATTATCTGCGAATATTATCTGTGAAGTTGACAAGTGTGAAGAAAGCCGGCAGCCATCGAGACACGAGGCAGATCAGCGGAAGTCCAGGTGGGTGCACATCACTGACCTCTATATATACAAGTACGCTGGACTGGCTATAGACGTGACATGATGAAGCGATTTGATTTCCGCCATTTTGGCGTTGAAAGCAAAAGTGCACGTCCACGGAACTAATAATAGGGATAGGACAGTGTATCAAATTATATCGATAAAAATTCTATACTCTACCTATACCTAAATAAATAGAAGGGACTCTATGGATAGATGAACTCTACCCGTAACATCCATTCTATTTATGTATCATATTAATATAACGCCATTATCATTCATCATCATTAAAATCATTCATAAGTCCACTGCTGAAAATAGGCTTCCCCCAAGGAATGCCACAAAGCACGGTCCTGAGCTACCTGAATCCATCAACTTCCTGCTGATCTTACCAGGTTTTAACTCCATCAAGTGGGGGAACGTCCTAAACTTCACCTGCCGGTACGGGGCTGCCACTCGAGAAACCTTTTTCCCCCTTCGGTATTCGGTTCTTCGAGCTATATGGCCGATTTCCACTTCAGCGTACTAATCCATTGGTCGATGTCGATCACTCTGGTTCTGCTGCAGATATCCTCATTCCTAGGTTTGATTCCCTGAGCATAGCCCTCTTCATAGCTCGCTGAGCGACTTCGAGCATCCTCAACGGCCAGCAGTGAAAGACCTCGTCTCAGATCCATAGGTCATCACTGGCAACACGGACTGGTTGTACAATCTAGTTTTGAGGTATTCCTGACGAGAAGATGTGTTGTGATTTCACGAACGCTGCCCAAGCGAGTTGAATCCGTCGATTGACCTGTCGGTCGAAGTTGAACTTACCTACCCGTCGGACTATTTGTCCCAAGAAAAAATACTCGTCAACAACTTTAGCTAAGTGCTCCCAAAAACCACCGGCATAGGTGTGACATGTACATTACACATGACTTTTGTTTTGTCCATGTTCATCTTAAGACCTATCCGTTGAGAGACACTATTGAGGTTATTGAACATAGTGTAGGTCCTTCAGCGATTCTGCCATAAGGACTATATTGTCGACAAATCGAAGGTGAGTAACGTACATGCCATTGACGTTAATACAGTATCTATGGAGTGTAGAAGTAAGGAGTACAGACTGTGTATTAAAAAGTGTCCATAAAAACCACTAAATAAGGGTGACGCCACTATAACTACGAGGAAAATTTTAAAGAATGCACCGAAAAATATTAGTGGGATAGACGAATTTTTCGAGGTTATATTTACTAAATAAAATTATTTTAGATTTTAGAGCTACTGAGCAGTTTAGCACCACACTTAAACCATCGACAACTGCTAAGTTCATTTTATCCCAGTAGCTACTCCAGCGCTGTTGTGGAGAGTTTTTGAGCTGTTATTTACTCCTTACATGGCCACTTTTTCAACTGTTCTACTATGGGAGTTGGTACTCCTTACTTCTACACTCCATAACCGTATCCTTTCCAGTCCAGTAGCTTGAAGACGTCTTCCAACGTAGCGATAAAGTATTTCGGGGATATTACGTCACCCTGTCTTACAAATCTCTACAGTTGGATTAGTTTTGTACTTGACCATTCAACTAAAAAATTATTAAGATTAAACTATCAACACA